TGGAACTCTGAGCGTACCGCGATGCCATGCCCACCTCGGGACTCGATCGCGAAGCCACCGCTGAAGTGGTCTCATATGAAGTAGTCCGAGCGGCGTTGCCGCGGCTGCGGATGCCATATGCCCCAGGAGCCTCTGAAAAAGTTTCAGTGGGACCGCACTCTTGCCCTCGAACTGTCGAAGACAAGCCAGCAGTGAGTGTGCGCGCTCGTTCGTGAGCTGCGCCGACATGGCGGCCGAGTCTATCTCCATACCGAGAAAAGAGATCCTCTGCATGGGGCAAATTAATATTTTTTAAAATATTTTGCACGGAGGGTCAGCGGGGTGGAGAGACCTGCAGACGCGGAGGAGTTAACCCCCGTGTGTGCAGAATCAAGCTCCGCTCCCCGACAGAGGAGACCAGGGAAAGACCAGAGTTCCACGGGGGTCTGCTCTGCCGGGGGTCTGGCGATAGAGGGGGAAGGGAGCAGCGTGGTCCGGAGACGACAGCCGCTTCCTTCCGCGCCCTCAGAGACAGAGGAGAATGAGAGTGGCGAGGCCCGGGGGCGTAACACACTTTCATTTTGCTCTGTGTGCTCAGTGATGGTGTCAAGTCTTTCTTTAAACAAATCAGGGTGCTGCCCACCCGTGGGTGAGCAGCGGGGAGCTGAGAACAAAAGATTCTCCCCCGGACCTCCACCGGGGGAAGGAGGGGGCCTGCTACCGCCTCCTGGGAAAGACTCGATGCCAACACTGAGCAGCCCATCTCAGGAACGCCGCTTGGCCTGGCGTTTAGCGGGGCGCGGGGCCTGAGGGGGCTGTGGCGCCTTCCTCCACGACGCGGCCCGGGTGAAGGCTGCTGCTGTGGCCGTGCGGGAGGGAGGGGAGCCGCAGGATTGCGCCCTCGGCGGCGAGAAGGCTGAGGCGTCTGTGCTGACGGCTGGGTGGAGGCAGCAGCTGGCCTTCGGGGCAGAATATGTTTGATAGCCTCAGTCCGCTTCTGAGCGGTCGAGAACTGCTGGGTGAAGTCCTCAACCGCAGCGCCGAAGAGGCCAGCCTGGGAGAGGGGGGCGTCAAGCAGACGAGTCTGCTCGGTGTCCCGCACATCAGCCAGGTTGAGCCAGAGATGACGCTCCTGGACCACGTTAATGGCCATCACCTGACCGAGGAAGCGTCGGGTTTTTGTTCCACACCGTCACCATCAGATCACCCTGTCTGAGAGCCGAAGAGCTCCCTCTGGAAGAGGAAGCAGATCGGGTAACAGACGCGGAGACTCTCACAGTAAGATCATTGATTCTCGATCTCAGTGTCGCGATGGGAACATGAGTCATCCGCGAGCGCTGCTCTAGCGTGTTCAAAGCCCAGACACACAAAGCAGCGCTCATGCCCATCATAAGAGGAGAGAAATCGACCGCACCCAGAAGAACACGGGCGAACCATCTTTAAAAAGACGTGCCACGTGCAGCTATTTCAGTAGAGAGGAAATTCACTCTGCAGCGCTGAGGCGACCAGGGAGAAACACAAAGTCTGGCAGATGGAGAATCTCGCAATGTAGAATCTCGCTGGGTACCGCCGTCACACCAACACTGGAGAGGATGCTCGTCTCAAAGAGATAACTCAGTATGAGTGGCTTGTGGAGTGAAGAGGTTCTCTTGGCTTCGAAGCGAAAACACACTGCAGTTGCGTCTGCTTCCTCCTTTTATACCCACGAGGTGGGGCGGAGATACGCTATGCAATTTCCGCAGACCCAAGGCATTTTCACGCAATTGGCTCGTTTTTAAATACTCAAAGAGGATTGGCTTTCTAGGCGAAACCCCCATTCTCCGTCATCCGACATAACTCGGAGTGACTACGAAAGGGAACTGAATTATGCTTTAGAATATTAATCAAAAGATTAATATGGAAGTAAAATTATGCCAGACGTTTTTGATTTTTGAAAATCAAACCTTTTAGATTGTTGATATAAATAATAAAATAAACTGTCAAGTCATGTGTAAACATCTAAACCCACTGCAGACAGTGGAGACTGACCTCCCGTGAGAGACAGGACCGTACCGAGGATAAGAACAGAGAAAAGGACGGAGAGAGGCATCGCTATGGAGCACAGAACCATCGACAGAGTCTGACCAGGAACAGCAATACCGTGCCTCGAGGGAGTGATTGTGGAGCTTGAGTGCAGGGAGGATAGGCCAACCCACAACCCTACCGCTATAAAATTCTTAAGCTGTGCCATTATTTATAAAGATTACTTTATTGTAGCCTATTTGAAGCACACGATAATGATGTCATTAGCACACTTCAAGTTTAATTGGAATGACATTAAAATGTGTTTTTAAAATTTACTAAAAGTTTGTTGTCAGTATAATATTAATGTATTTTCAACACTCTTACAGTGTAATTGATGCAATTGTAATGTATTGCAATTGTAATGACCAAAACACATTTAAAGTTTATACTAAATGAATTCTGCATTTCAAAACTTAAATACAAGAGTATAAGTGTACTTAAACTTGCAATAGTTACACTTGTCTTTAGCACAAACAATTTAATACAACTTTAATTGACAGTAAACATGCATTTAGTACAAAATTAACAGACTTTAAGTATTCCAATTTATAGTGTGCCACAAAAAAACATTTAGTTATACTAAAGTACATATGAATAAATTGTGCTTAAAGGGTAACTAAACTCCTGGTCAGAGCCTGACTCCACCCACTGGCAATATTTGAAAAATGCTGAAAAAGTGGGCAGACCCCAGCGGAGATAGAGGGAATGAAATAGATGCTAAAACACTCTGTCTAGTCTATATATACGTACTAGTTTGTGTTTATTTTGTGTTTCATGCTTTGGATTACCTGATGGTTTATGTTTCACATTTTTTGGATTATAATCATTATAATAAACTGCACTTGGGTCCTCTACAATCTACATCTTTGTTTTCATCTGCTTCCATGTCAGCATCGTTACAGCCCTCATGTCTTTCCAAATCTCTGGAACTTTTTTTTCCAAAATTACCCAAATTATTGACAAATTATTAAAACACAAATTATCTGGATAAGAGCATCTGCTAAACGGCATAAATGCATGAAAATGAAAATGAAAAGAAAAAAAAAAACAACAATTTCACCAAAAGTGTATAATAGATATTGTTCTTCATCTTCATAGGAAAATTATTTTCTTAAACCTGTACAGAGAGATGCACTAATTAACCAAATTTCCAAGCCTGCTTTCCCTTGACGCTAATCTTCCAAATGGTCAAGGCATTTAACACACAGTTGTTATGCAACACACCAAACAAACATGTTTTTGTTCCAAGATATAACTAGGTTCGAGCAACAGAGGGGAAGTACTTGCAGATGAAATCCTTGGTGTCCAATTAGACTAGAGACTGCGTTTTACTCTGAGTGCAGTATAGGCCTACATCCACATCAAAAAGTGGTCTAGATGTAAAGTCTGTTTTAGTAAATGGATGCACTCACCTAAAAGATTATAGGAACACCATACTAATACTGTTTTTGACCCACTTTTGCCTTCAGAACTGCCTAATTCTACGTGGCATTGATTCAACAAGGTGCTGAAAGCATTCTTTAGAAATGTTGGCCCATTTTGATAGGATAGCATCTTGCAGTTGATGGAGATTTGTGGGATGCTCATCCAGGGCACGAAGCTCCAGTTCCACCACATCCCAAAGATGCTCTATTGGGTTGAGATCTGGTGACTGTTTGGGCCATTTTAGTACAGTGAACTCATTGTCATGTTCAAGAAACCAATTTGAATGATTCCAGCTTTGTGACATGGTGCATTATCCTGCTGGAAGTAGCCATCAGATGATGGGTATGGTGGCCATAAAGGGATGGACATGGTCAAAAACAATGTTAAGGTAGGCTGTGGCATTTAAATGATGTCTAATTGGCACTAAGGGGTCAAGTGTGCCAAGAAAACATCCCCCAAACCATTACACCAACACCACCAGCCTGCACAGTGGTAACAAGGCATGATGGATCCATGTTCTCATTCTGTTTAGGCCAAATTCTGACTCTACCATCTTGTTTGCTCAAACATAGCACCGTTTTGAAACATGTCAGCAATTCCTAGCGACTGTTAAGATATGTAATACACAGCGGGGTTGGTTGTAACACAGTGTTACAACTAAGCCGCCAAGTAATCAAATGAAAATGGAGCCACACAACTTTTCAGGTTTGAGTATACATTTAACTTTGTTGGACTTTCACAAACAATGTTGGAATTTAAAATGTTTAAAATTTAGTGTACTATGAATGATAACTTGTTTATTTATTAAAAATATGGCCTGTTTTTAATTCAATAAACCCTTTAAATTTTTATTTTAATCTCATTTGTATTATTATTACTGTTATTATTAATAATGATAATTGTACAAGCAGCTGTCACACACAAATCTAATTCAATTGCATAATTACAATATTTTATAATTTTATTTTATATGGGGTTGTAACATTGGCACTTCTGTCACTTTCAGTGCAACTGTACGAAAATGGAAGGTCCTAGAAAAAAAAAAAAAAAAACTTTAAGTGTTCATTTGTAGCAGAGATGTATATGTTACTTGTGTAAAAAAATTAATATAACCTAATTATTTTTTAATTGAGCCCAAACCAAAATGTGTTAGGTTGTGCCCCGCTCTCCCCTACGTTTTTAATTGAATTGTAAAATGGTATTAGACAATTGTACAAGATGAGAAATAGCCTATGACTAATATTTACAAATGTATTACTAGTGGGAGTAATATTAGAGTCTCATTCATGGGTATAGCATTTAATAAATCTGACAAGTCAGAAGTGTGGCTATATTCAGAAGTATATCCCTTACTTTTACCACAGCTAAAACAAAATAGAAGCAATTGTTTTATAGGCTAAATGTTAAAACGGCTTGCCATTTATAATCTCGAGTCTCTTGAGTTAGTGCAGTGTGGTATTAGCGGGCTTTAAGATTGTAATGTCACTATAGAAACCTCTGGAAAGAACACAAGAGTTGCATGACCATTGCAGACAGGCGTTTAGTGCGCGAGATGGCTGCGTTTCCGCTTCAGGCGCGCTGCGACACCGCTATTCAGCATCTTACTGTTTAGTCTGCGCTTTATATCTTTATAGCATCAGGATATGAACATTTGGCTCGAACATTTTATTTGCGGAAATTCCACGAGACTATGAGGATGATATGCACTGCATCATACTGGAGATATAACAGAATTGCGCTATAACTGTTTTACTTTTGTATGTTACCTTTTGTGGCCATGAGTGCGGAGAAGCCAAACTTTCTGTCTCAACCTGAGGTAAAAAATATCTATTTCTATCGGAATGGGGATCCGTATTACGAGCCCAGGCGTTTGGTGATCAACGCGAAGAGGGTTTCGACCTTCGACACGCTGCTGCGGGAGGTGACTGGTGGCGTCCGAGCTCAGTTTGGAGCTGTGAGAAACATTTACACGCCCAAAGCGGGACACCGGATAGACTCACTGGAGCACCTGAGGAGCGGAGAACAGTATGTAGCTGCTGGGCGAGAGAAGTTCAAAAAGATAGAGTAAGACCCATTTTATCTATCATCTATCAACGTTCTGGAAAGGTTATCTCAATATGTTGAACAAATTCTTCGTTGATAGAATGTTCAAAAGTATCTGGTTCTATAAAAAAAAAAAAAAAAAAAAAAACATTTGTTATTCGTTAATGGAAGGGTTTTGTTTTATTTTTGGTGAAACGTTTTAGCTGACGTTTATCTAACAATCCGTCAGTGTTACTTGTTTCAGAGAACATTCAAAGGGAAATTCCCATATCGTTGGGCAAGTTTGTTTGCAAGGCAATGTTTCCTTAATTTTCGCAAGAAAACAACTTGCCTATTTAAAATATGTGTTTAAAAAAGAAAAATGATGTTTTGGACTTTATTTACAGTTTTTCTCAGTCGCTTTGGTGCATTTCTCACATCACTATTTATATTTGCACAACAGTTCAACCTCCACTACATTTAGTCATTTGTGCACATCATAGTTCAATTCCAACAAATTGCAACTGCTTTTGGACATGCATCAATTGCTTTCATACAACTCTCTGCTGTTTTATAGCATTATCATTTGCTTATGTCATATCAGTCCAAATTAACTTGTGTGAATGCTGAATAGTCATTCCATATAAAACTGATAGTCCTCATTTCATTGCTTGAGTCATCACATACAAAAATGTTGAACTAGTTGTCAAAATCTGTCATCAATTTTTTTTGGTATCTTTAAAAAAAAACCTTTTTATCCTGAATTGAACAATTTCTCACAGGTTAACCATAGCTTTCCATAGATATGTGCATGAATGATTTACAGTATATGTATGCTGTAGTTCCAATATGTACTGTGATATTGTTTACAGTTGTGCACCGATCTACCCAAAGGGAGTTTATGTTTGTTGTAAATAAGGGTGTATTTTTTTCTTTTGCACAATGTTGTGAACAAATTAGAATTGCAAAGAGCATGCAGTAAAAATGTTACATACTGTAAACATACATTCAGTGTCTTTTACTCAATTACTGTACCTCACTACGTAAATACAGTAATGTGAAACTTTACTGTAGTTTTCAAATGGCTGTGCAAATAGTTTATAGGACTGTCTTGAGCATTTTCAGGTAGTGTCACCAAGATCTGACTTTTTTTGTATTGGCAAACACTTACAGAGTAAACTATCATAATGAAAACATGACAAAGCCATTTGACTATCTTGTTCATAAACACTGGTGTCAGGACTTTTCATCTTGACGACACTGACACTTTCAATGACATGAATACTTGCTTTTGAGGAATGAGTTTTCCATTTTGAGCAAGTGACACACTTATCAACTAAGTTTTGCAGTTTGTACTAATTGTTTTGAGAACTGCATTAACTGTTGTGCAAATGTAAATAGTGATGTGAGAAATGCACCAAAGCGACGGAGAAAAAATGTATTTATTTATTTATTTATTTGTGGGGAGGAGATTATGACCACAGGGGTAAGTTCTCATAACTTTGTCAAACATGAGCAAACATTTTCAAGCAACGTGTTTCCACATTGTTAGCATAAAAACAGTTTATTAAAAAATTGTTCATAAATCTTTTATTTCTGAAATGTTTTATTTGGACGTCATCTAATGTTTTTAAAATATTTCAAAACATAAATGAAACAAAATGTTTTCAGAATATGATTATCCACCCGTTTCAATCCGATCGAAATTTCTTTCTGATCGATTGAGGTGTTTAAATGAAGCCTTTTCAATCCGATTGAGCAGATTATTTGGGTGCATGCAAATGTATCATATCTTAACCTTGCCTGATTAAACCTAAATATGCCATGAGTACAAGCTGTCAAACATTTTAACACCTTTCAACTGATTCTCTATTTTCTCTATTTTACAAAGTTACGAAAACACAAATGAAAGTCTGCGGATGATAGTAATCAAAACAAATAATGGCACTTGCTTCGCGAGGTGCATTCTGGGATGCTTTGTTAAAAAGTTCCCATGTATGGTGGACACATGATTATGCTTCGCCTTCAATTCACCTTTGGCTAAGCCCCGCCCACCTTAGTTACTGTTGCTACATCCGTCAAACTACTGCGCTCTGCATGGCTTATGCTGTAACAGCTCTTCCTGCTGAAATGTTACCAAACTTTTATGAAGCAGCAAATAAAGTGTCCGATAGAAGTAGGCAAAAGGGGCTGCAATATGCGTTCAAAGGCTATATTCAAGACATACAGGTGAAACGCAAGAAACAACAAGGCATCCAAATAGAGGCAAAAGCATAAAGTGACTGGTCACAGTCAAAAAATGAACCACCGCATTTCCTACTAATCGAGATGGAGGCTAGGAGCAACACTGTTCATGCAAAGCTGGGTAGGTCTCTATTCACTTCTATAATCGTTATTACAAAGCAAACGGACTACACGAGTACTGTATAACGTTGCATTTATTAGCAGCGTGTGCTAGCGTGTCAACAACCGGTATGAGAACCAAAATGATAACCTAAAACATTATAAAACGGTCTAACTAGTATAACTTCACACTCACAGTAAGGTTAAAAGTAAAAAAAGATGTGCTTGTTGATCTTTGCGGGGTTTAGCTGACTGAGGACGTCCATACAGTTTAATCCAAACATGACACTTGTCACTGTCAGGATTTTACTTCGGTTTTGGGAAGGGAAAAAACGGACACCCCCCTCCAACCTCTCTGGGAAACGCGTATCTGTGTTGCAAATGCCTGAGGCACAACGTTTAACCATATTTTGGATAAAACTACGACTGTAATAGCCTGCCGAGACCAAAAATATGAGACGCCCGTGTTAAAAGTCAATGGAGCGCTGTGAAAAAGCAGTAGCACCTCAATGCAGAACATGAGATCCACGGGGAGGAGTCGGATCACGATCCAAGGGGTGGAGATGGGTAAGATTAGGGTTGGGTTTAGGGATTAGGGGTGGGTTTAGGGATCAGGGGGCGGAGTTGGTTAGGTTTAGGTGTATGTAAGGTGGGAGGAGTTGGATCTGGATCCGACTCCTCCCCATGGATTTCATGTTCCGCAGTGAGGACCATCTCTGAAAAAGTGTCGGACCTCTGTGGGAGCTCGTTCTTGGCTGGGCTGTGATTGGTCAATCTACTTTCTTGGGCGTGGCTTAGCCAAAGGTGAATTTCTTACCCAACTAATTAATTTCAACAGAAAAATGTTAGTTTCATGAAGTTGTAATACAAATTTAGATAACTAATTTCATATTTAAGCATGAACTTTCAGATCAAACACAAATAAATAAACATTTGACCAGTAGTGCATCTGGTTAATGGCAACGAGGAACAAAATCAGCAAATAATCTTTTACTTTGCATTGTTAAAGGGGTAAAAGTAATTCAGCTTACTTTTCAGTTATTTGCAGATAGGAACCAGGAAGAAAAGAATGCTTCAGCTCAATGGAGTGGTAAGGACAAATAATTACATTTTATTTACAGCTGAAATCTGTATGCAATGAATACAATTTATATACAACACTGCTGATCCTATTAATTAAGAACACAGCACAAAGATTCAACATACACAAACATGCAGTGTTTCGCTACAGTAGTCAGTCGCTACAGTTTGGTTGTTAATGGAGTCAGCAGGGTATGTTCATCCTCGTGTCCCAGAGAACTGTGTACCAGAAAACTGACCCCAGTAGATTTAGACATTGGCAAACAAAGCCAATTTAAGAACATGTTTTTCAAAAACAATCTTTTTTTTCAAGGTATGTTAAGGAAAAGTAACATGAAGATCCAGTCACAGATATGACCATGTTCTAGTTCAGCACACAGAATCGCACCTGCTTTAGCTTTCAAGAAAAACTACCTAAGCGAGGTGTAATGTTTAGAGACACACCGTCTGCGTTGTCGTCTGGGAAGAATCACTTTGTTGTTGGCTCATTTGGCAATGAATTATTAACCTGTGAATTATTATCCACCTTCTTGGATGCATATTTAAGTCAATGGCTCTGACCCAGAGCGCAAACAAAGCTCTCCGGACTCTGGAGACAATCTGAATGACACTTCATATACTCCCGCTGTACTCAAGACTAGTTAAAGAAGAGTAGAATGAAAAGAAAGAAAGAAAATGAGCACAGGGACTTAATTTACAACAGTCTTAAAATTTTATGAACTCTCTAAGGCAAAGAGAGTGAGTATCATCACAACTGCTCAGAGACCCCTTTATTTTTGTGGTGAACTAAATGGCTGTTGCCATGGTAATTGATGATACAATGTCCTAATCATCATTAGGCAAGATTGAACAGGCCAATTTATTTATGATGCGGGCCACACTTTGTTCCTACTAGCTTCTGATTGTCTCAATTAGAGCGGCTGCTTTGGCCTGGCAGCGTCCCAAAGACTCACCGTCCCTCTGCTCTTTACACAAGCGCCTGCGGGGTTACCAGGGGATACGGCAGGGGCCTGAGAGACACTGAAACACTAGATGAGAGCAGTTGTCTGTCTGTGTTTGGGTTTAACTGAGCAAGGCCCTCGCTTAACCACACTGGTTAATCGATCTCACATCTGACCCTGACAGCAAGTAAGCAGCTCCTACATTTGACATCTTGAGGCAGTGTTTTCTACTGTCTGAAATCCAGTTTTTTATTTTTTATTTTTTTATTATTCATTTTTTACGCTTAAATTGATTAAAGGAGAACTCAGCCGCAAAATGAACCTTTGGTCTAATAACACAATGGTACCTAGTCGACCGTTTTCTGAGATTTGTTTTCATGATAATCGAATGTAAAGAGTTTTATATCTGAAAACTGTTTAGATTATAATGCTAGTATATGGGGGCATATAATAAGTAAAAAGAAATCGCTATAACTAATACCACCAACAGGGCTCAAAATAGCCCCACACTAACACAGTAACATAATGAGGGTCCCTGGATGCAAAATGAAGCATTGAGAAATTTGTAAGTGTACAGACAGTTTAATTAGAAGATATTTTATAAAGACAGTCATGTATACACAGCAGAAGCCATCTTTGGAAAACCGTCTCGATAAGTCGAACCACGAACGACGTGCCCAGTGAACTGAACTGTATGAAGTTCAGCGAACTTCTGAACCGTATGAACAGCATTTGTGGTTCGACTGGTCGAGACTGTTTTCCAAAGATGGCTCCTTTCTGTATACACAAAGTGAACTGTCTTTATAAAGTATCTTCTTATTAAACGGTCTGTACACTTACAAAGTTCTCAATGCTTCGTTTTGCATGTAGGGACACTCATTATGTTACTATGTTAGTGTGGGCCTATTTTGAGCCTTGTTAGTGGTATTAACTTTAAAATGCGATTTATTTTTTTACTTATTAAATGCCGACATATACTAGCGCTATACGCTAATACAGCTAACAGACTTTGTAACAAAGTATTTCGGATTCATATTGAGTTTTTTGGGGTTTCGCAACATTAGAATTTTTTTATCCGATTCCGACACGTTTGTATCTGCAGCTGTGGTAACTAGAGAAGAGCTGGCAATTGCCACCCCGAATGGCGCAACACTACTGAGTCAGTGATTGGTGGAGGCTGACGCATCAGAACAAAACACAACTTGACAATATCATCATCAGTCAAGGGCTGTGACTTCACTTTTTAAATAACAATATCCTGGCCGGAGTACTGTTGTCAGTGATATGATATAAGTATTTGAAATGAACATGATTTCTTAATGTCTAGTGACATATCAGGGAAAATTTATGATTAATTGAAATAAATTTCTTGCATACAGCTCCTTTAAGTGTAAACAAAAAAAAAACATTCAACATGAGCTATCTGTTGCAAAAGCTGATGAACTAATACAGTTGACTTCAGTGTTCTTTCACCAGCGGTGATAGACACTATCATTTAGGCTGAGCCCCCTCCACGAGGCGGGCCTATGCTTTGAAGTGGAGTTGAGACCGACCGAGAGGAAGACCCACAGAGACCAAGTGGAGATCGAGGGGAAGACCCACAGAGATTTGAAAACTCCATCTCTGCTCCCAGTTGCTGCGTTTGTAGTAGTTTCTTCCTTTTCAGATAGGACCTACCACAGGGATTTATTACCATGTGTGGTACTTCTCAGGTGTTCCCAGGCCAGAAGTCCATATGATGTAATCTCCACACACTAACCTCCCCTTCGGGTAGAATGTGGTCTCTGTAGGGTTTCTTCTCCCATTTGATGGTTGAGGAGATTCCCCCTTCCATATAAAGAGCTTTGAGTACCCAGAAAAGCACTATATAAATGTAACCAATGATTAATTATCTGGGAAGTAGTTCCTCAATGCTCTGATCAGGATCAGCCGTAGATGTTTCCTTGAAAAAAAAAAAAAAAGAACAAAAAAGATCAAGGAAGTGCACTTTTTACATCTACATTGCCAAAACTCATAACACAGTTCATCTGGTTGTGGCATTTAGTATAGGGACCCCTAGTGTCAGTACATCAACACAACGTCGAAGTGACAGACAGATAGGAAACCTCTCTGTTACTATTCTTAGATACATTCCCTGATAGAGGGAATAAGAGGTTGTGTCCTTTCTACCACAACTCTGAACTGTCTGCTGAAATGGCTGGGATGTTATCTTGGCTCCACAGCACAAACCTCAATGAGTGGAGCACACCAAGCCTCCTTTTATATTCCCCGCATGTCAACAAATTCTCAATGGCCTTTTCTGAAGTACCAGATGTGTTTGGGGCTCCAACGTGTGACCCCTAATGTCAATATACATTACAATGTCCATAAATAGACACTACCTCTTATGCCATCCATCAGGGAACGGCTACAATAGTTACTGAAACTTTGTTTTTTCATCTTTCTCAAGTGTGTAATGTTGCTGTTTGTGTATGAAAAAGGTCTGCAAAGTTACAAAACACAGTCAAGTAAAGTCAACAAGTCAAGTCACCTTTAATTATATAGCGCTTTTTACAATACAGACTGTTTCAAAGCAGCTTTACAGCTTCTCTGGAGAAAACCGTGAGGTCATCGTCCAGCTCAGTTCAGTTTTCCTACGGTGTCAATGCAGGCAGATCAATAATATTGTTGAATATTAAATTAAATGGCAAAGGTGAAAAAAGGCGACAAAGGCGAAAAAAGGCGATAGTGGCAAGGAACGAAAACTCCATCAGGTGACAATGGAGTGGAGAAAAAAAACATGGGGAAAACCAAGCTCAGTCGAGAGGCCAGTTCTCCTCTGGCCAACGAACGAACAGTGTATCATTTTGATTCAGCCGGCAGTATAGGTCAGAAATCATATTGGATTGGAACATTGAGGATATTATCCAGTTCCATGCGGGAGAGATCATCACGCCGGTATAGAGACCAGTTTCTTGTGCCCAGCGTTTTCTGCATGTTTTTAGGCACTATATGTGAATCCGACCTAAAAAGAGTACTTGGTACAACAAATTTCCTAACTGAATGTTAGGATTTCAGAAACACTTAACTGCATGTTATTTACAATTAAATGAAAATGTAGACTAGTTTAAATTAAAGGGATAGTTCACCCCACAATGAAAATTCTGTCAGTAATTGCCATCACCCTGATGTTGTTCCAACCCCGTAATACTTTCCTTTATCTTCGGAACACAAATTAAGATATTTTTGAGTCTTTAAGATATTTTTAAGATAAATCTGAGAGTTTGATCACTCCTCCATAGGCTTCTAAGGGATTAAAACTTGCCGACCCAGAAAAGTTAAAGTGACCAGTGGCTCTATCTTTAAGTTTATCAAGTTTATCTTAAAGACCAGAACATTTTTTTGTGCGCTAAAAACAAATAATAATGACTGATAATAAAAACTAAATAATGACTTCAACTATTCATTTCCCTCTCTGTGGGCCTTGAGATAGTTTACGTAGTGTAACTGCGCAGCGCTTCTACGTCACACGCATCACACACATGACCAGCGTCGGCCAATAGTTATCCTACGAGTGACGTACAACAAAGAAGCGCTGCGCAGTTACTCTACGCGAAATCTCGAGGCCCACAGAGAAGGAAATTAATAGTTGAATACAGTTAAAAATATATTTTTGTTTGTTTTTTTGCGCACAAAAAGTATTCTCATCGCTTGATAAATTTAAAGATTGAGCCACTGTAGTCACTTGGACTATTTTAACGATGTCTTTAACTTTTCTGGGCCGGCAAGTTTCAATCCCTTAGAAGCCTACGGAGGAGGGATCCAACAAAAATATCTTTATTTGTGTTCTGAAGATAAACGAAAGTCTTACGGGGTTGGAACCACATGAGGGTGAGTAATTTCTGACAGAATTTTCATTTTTGGGTAAACTATCCCTTTAATATGAAATGCAGTTAGTTGAACTTTAGACTACTTTTTGATCCACTTATAGGACTTAAGTACATCTTTATATGTTATTTCATACTTCTTCTATTGTCTTTGAAATATGTTTGAAGTGTACTGCCAAATATACTAACAAGCATTTATGGTAAACTAAAATACGCTTTAAGGTATTTTTTATTAAAACTTGTATGTCATGTATTCAAATATATTTGTAATTACACATTTGTAATGATGAAATTGCATTATGATCTATCATCACATTCTGTTTTTTAAATACACTTTTAAGATGTTAAGTACAATACAATTGAACATTCAATACAATTAAGCACACTTCTTTTTCATAAAGGTTAACCAAAGATGAGGTTCATGAGAAAATTAAAACTGTTATTGTGTGTGGTACACATTTAAGTCTTTTCACTATGTGTAGATGAAACCTGTTCCCCAGAGTCGTGTGGTAGTGTCTGCCAGATTCCTCAAACCTATCAATGAACCCTGTGCAATATTGTAAGTACAGTTTATTTTTTTTATTTCATAGTCCTTAACTATAGGCACACTTCAATTATTGATTTCTAATTTATTGTTAAGAGGAAAACCTCTTGAGATGTGACATCTCGTTTTCGAGAAGACCTCAAGAAAAACATACTTCACATACATACATACATACATACATACTGTACATACAACAGAACAGAGACATTTTTAGTCAGCATCACTGCAAACCTTTGAAACCTTTTTTTTTTGTTACCACATTTAATCAAATATCTCTGTGGGGTACTTAAAAGCCTTACATTTTTCAAAAATGAAAATTCTTCCATTACACTCCCTCCTGTTGCTCCAAACCGTTTATTTTTTTTCAGTAAATGTTTTGGATGAATTTTGCAGCTCTTTGCTCACAGTGATAGCTCATAGTAAACATAGCGGTCAAGAAAAAGGAAGAAAAACACCAAAAGCACTAGTAGTCAAACTATAAGGAGGTTGGATGTTTGGGAAGAACTTTCATTTTGATTAAGTATTACTTTAAGCAACTAATGAACCAGCATGTATGTATTTATGGATGAACTGATGTACTGAATTCATACATTCTGTTTGTTTGTATACATCTGCAGATTTACAAATACATATTTGTAATATAAATGTACATTTTTTTCTGTGTCCTCAGTGTTGTGGCAAATGGAGATGTGCAGAATCCAGCAGCGAGGCTTCTGATTCCCAGCCGTGTGATTGGCCAGTTTGAGCGGATTCTGGAGATGATCACCGAGAAAATGGGCCTGCGAATTGTGGGTGGTGTGCGGAGGTAAAGTGAATTTTTAGCTTATATTAGTCAGAATTCATATCATCAATTGAAATGGCTTCTAAAGGATTTTTCTTTTTTTAACTAGAATCAGAGGTTAATTCTTTTAGGCAAATTTGTGCACTTGTAAGAGTTATTATCATTATGATAATTAATTGTTTTTTAAGAGATGCAAAAAGAACAACAATTAATATATATATATATATATATCATTTCAGATATCTGGGAATTCACACCATAATTATCTTTCATGATTGTGCTTCTCCAGGACACTCCCAGCTAACTAGGGTGACCACCATCAAACAAACCAAATGTGGGACAATTATACATTTGTGTGGGACAATGTGGGACATGTTACCAACACTAAAACATACCCTGAAACTGTTATATAATGTCTATCTAACTTGAGAAAAATATTTATATTCTGGCTTTAAGGTTTTTTTTTTCAAAAAAAGTCATTTAAATTCAGCATCACTGAGCCCAAAGGCAGCAGGAATCATGTATATAAATATTTTAGAAACAGTTCTGACCAAGTCCAACAAAAATCCAACAAAAATAGACAATGAACAAATAAAATATAAAACAACATGAAATTAGATGTCTTATATATTAAGAATATATTAAAAACCAAAACCAAAAACGTTCATATTTTTAGAAAGGATACAACCACTGCAGGTTAAACAACAACAGATAAATTCCGTTAAATTAAAATTTTAATTTACCTAATTATCCATTTGTTTTCCGACAGGGAACATATATGAAACGCATCATCGGTCCACATTTTGATTGACAGCCGTCACAACCAACGAGTGATCATGTTTACTCCTTTCTTTTCAACCATTGGATAGTGTATAGCTAAAACACAGCTGTTGTATTTGTACTTATGACGAAGCGCTGCAAACTACGCAGCAAAAGTAATAAGTAGAATGCTTTCTTAAAAAGGCAAAAGAACGCATGCACGTTTTCTTAATATGATATTAAAAACTAATAGACTGATGAAAATGCGGGACATTTCCTCAATATGCGACGTGCAGGACAAGAGGTGAAAATGCTGCGCAGTACAACGCAAAGCAGGACGGGTGGTCACCCTACAGCTAACAGGGAATGTGCTCAGAACTTTGGAAAATATTTTGGCAAGGGTCTCCTAAAGTAATGAACAAATAAAGGTTCTTTTAGTAACATTAATAGAAAGTTCAAAGTTATCTGATCTTTAATAAGTTCTCAAAAAGTTATCACAAAAAACATTATTTATATCATTATTTATATACTGTATATAATCATTACAAATACATGGAGGTTTTTTTTTTTCTGAAACACTTTAACAGGACTTTTGTCTTTCATTTTATTAAATATTTCTATATTTCTGTCAGAATGTTTAGAGAATATTCAAATGTAATGCTCCAGTAATGTTTTCAAAATGCTAAAATGGAATGTTCCCTTAATATTGGAATAACCAATACATTAAATGGATGTTTTGAGTGTTTGTTAATTATGTTTCCATAACTTAATGGGAATGTTAGAAAAATGCTGTTAGAACAGATTTTTTTTTATTATTTAGGCTGTAAAACTAAAAATCAAAAGTACTTGAAGTGCCTTTCCTAATTTTGGAAAAGAAAGCATTTCTATATCATCTGAGCAATATTGACTTATTTAAGCTTTTAACATCTTTTTTTTTTTTTTTTTTGCAGCCTGTACACCTTTGAAGGGACTCTCATTATGGATGGAAAGAAATTAGAAAATGGACAGTTTTATGTTGCTGTTGGCAGAGACAAATTTAAAAAGCTTCCATACAGTGACCTCCTGTTCAATAAACCCATAGGCATAAAGCGAGTGAATGGGTAAGAGAAAGAGGCTGCCTTTTCCCAGAAGATGAAGTATGTTTTCGGTAACGCTTTACAATAAGGTTTCATTTGTTGACATTAGTTAATTAGAAATTCCAGACGTAATTACATGCAGTTATTTTTTAAAAATACAGTATATGTACACAATTAGTGCATTGTATCAAATGACTAAATTTTAGAACATAAAGACTACTAACATAAAGTGGAACCCAATATGTATTAGTATTTGTTAATGTTAGTTAATAAAAGTTATACAGTTCATTGTTTGTTCGTATTAGTTCAAAGTGCAGAATATTAAGAAAAACAACTTTTTATTTCAATAATGTGTTAGTAACATTAATTAAGATTAATAAATACTGCAGAAGTATTGTTAATTCTTAGTTCATGTTAACTAAAGTAGTACACCAATGTTATCTAATGAAAGCTTATTGTAAAGTGTTACCATGTTTACAAACAGAATGTAATTGAATGTGATTTTAGGTCAAAAGCAGCGTCATTACCACCTATATACAAATGCAGACGACAAAATGGAGATGTAAGTACAAAAACTGAAAAATAAAATATGTTGGGCATTCATTTGTTAAATCTTTGAATATTTCTGTTGTCAGGTGGGGAACCATCATATCGGTAAATCTGATTGTGGGCAAGAGAAGAGCAGTCCTTCAGACCAGACCTCCAAAGAACACCTGTCAACTATCGTCAGAGAGATCTCTCAGGCCAGACTCATGCGAATACGCAAGAAGAGGAGCGAACTAGCAGCATCTACCGAGGCTCAGGACGATGGTAAGAGATACACGTTTGACCAGCAGCAGAAAATCTGAAATCAATTAAAACAAAAACAATGAAGAAATGAATACACATGATGTTTTATTAAGGAGGAGCACGTTCAGTTAATTAGCACGAGTGGAGTGCACTCAGCAATCAATGATAAGAAGGTTTATATAGACCATTTTACAAGATGTAAACAACACTGGTAACTTTTTTCTTCATTTCACATGTAAAGAAAACATCTTAAAGATGTTTGTTTAACTTTTAGATTCAGTTTTATATGTTCTGTTGGTTGTATTTTATCCCAGCTTTTATGTAGTGTTAAAAAACTGAAACAGGAAGTGCTTCTGGACCAGTGTTGTTTACATCTTTCAAAATGGTCTATAGATTCAGCAATCTCACCTCACTCCATTGATAGTTTAGCAGCACCCCTCCACTGCCCCTTCTCTACACTTCCAGTCTTAAACACTTATTACATAGGGGGGTGTACTCTGGGTTTGGGCCAAACTCCAAGCTCAGAGCCCTCCCGCCGGACAGCACGCCAAATACGTGTTAAATCTTATCCACTCTCATTATATGTAAGACCCCGTTTACACCTGGTATTAAAATGCGATCTGTATCCAGATAAGTTATCCGGATAATAAGTACTGATTCCATTTACACCTGGCCACATAAATGTGTTTTTGCAAAACGGATATAAATCCGATCTTCACCTCCTGCGTTATATGCAGATTTATTGGATTGCACGCCACCAAAAGCAACAGATCTGAGCGGCATTTTATTGATCATCAGCTAATTTCCAAATCAAAGACATCAATAAGAGAGAGTGGCAACAGGCCTGGTAAGATAATTTCGTTTCTTTACTTGAAGATGTGTTAACTGCGTCTGTGACTTACTTTCACTTTTATTTGCGATGTTTGCACGTTGAATAGACGCTCAGCTGCTCATCTGCGGTGATGCGTGTCGCGTGTCGCATCTGACTAGGCTATAACATGACATAGCCTATATAACACGCTCTCACTCGTTTATTTTTTAGCATTTTTGGGAGGAGTAAAATATACATATGTGGTTTCAACAACCAGATTGCGTTTACACCTAGTAAAGATCCGGACACAATGCGAGCCAGACTACCTCCAGATGTGGTCAGGCAGATCCGATCACGATCCGATCACAACGCGTTTACACCTTGCATTAACATGCGTTTTTTATTATCCGGATAACTTATCTGGATACAGATCACATTTTAATACCAGGTGTAAACGGGGTCTCAGTGTGAACTCGTGAAATAATTTTTTTTGTGACCAAAAAAGGAACACAGCACAACTACATATCTAGCGTTCTAAGTTTGGGGTCGGTAAGACATTTTTAAATGTTTTTTTCAGTCATATTGTCTTTCAGAATTAATTCGAATATGCAGATTTTCTGCTTAAGAGACATTTCTTATTATTATCAATGTAAAAAACAGTTGTTCTGCTTCATATTTTTGTAGAAACTGTGATACATTTTTTTTTTTCAAACAGATCAAACAGAAATCTTTTGTAATATTTTAAAGGTTTTTTGCATCATTTTTGAACAATTTAATGCATCTTTTCTGAATAAAAGTATTAATTTTAATTTAAAAAATCTTAGTGACAAGCTACACTGTAAGAACAAATGTACATTTAACTTGTCACTGTGTTATGACAAGTGTGCTGAAATTAATCAACATGAATAGTCAACCCGGTCTCATCCCAAGACGACATATAACTGACGTTTTGGGACGTCTTTTGACCATACGTCAATATTCGCCTTTTTAGGGCCCCCTTAAACGTCGGTAGATGAGGTTATGGGATCCTAACTCTACCCCAGACCTAAACCTAACCCGTCACCTATCTGACGTTAAAGGTAAAGCGTCAGTTGTATGACGGCCCGGGATCGCCATCTACCGACGTTTAAGCGGGCCCTAAAAAGGCGGATATTGAAGTATGGTCAAAAGACGTCCCAAGACGTCAGTTATATGACTTTTTGGGATGAGACTGTGTTAGAATAGTTTTAACTGTAGAATATTTGACTGATTTAACTGTAATATGCGTAATCTATCACTATCAAGTCAAGTCAGCTTTATTTACATAGTGCTTTTTACACTACAGATTTCAAAGCTGCTTTACAGAGATAACAGGAAAATAATGCAACAAAGTTTGTTTCTGCTGTCCAGCAGATCCAGAGGAAAACAGCATCATAGTCCAGCTTAAGTAAATTCAGTTCATTTCTGTTCATTTATTATTTAGTTAATTCAACTATACAGCCACTCTGGAGAAAACAGTGATGTCATCGTCCAGCTCAGTTCAGTTTTCATGTAATAGAATTCAATGCAGGCAGATCAATGAGGCTGATGAATATTAAATGTCCCCAAATAAGCAAGCCAAAATCCAAAGGCGACAGTGGCAAGGAACCAAAACTACATCAGGTGACATAATAGAGACCAGGCGAAACCAGGCTCAGTCGGGGGACCAGTCCTCCTCTGGCCAACGAATGAACAGTGTATGATTATGATTCAGGCTGCATTACATGTCAGACGTCAGATTGGATCGGAACCATCACTATAACTATCTAGTTTTTGTAGTCTTTTGTGCACTCACCAAAATATCTCTGCAGCCACTATTGTCTGGAGAACGATGATGTAATTCAGTGATGCTTATATAATGCGCTTCCCTGTGTGTTCAAGAGATGGCACTGGTGCTCTGTGAGTGTGTTGCTCATGCTCTTGCTGTGGCATGAGAGGGATTACATCATCATCATCATTGTGTGTCCTCAGATTTCAGCCGGCGGTGTGCGATCAAGCGCCATGCTTGACTGCACGTGTCTCTTTTCAGAACATCTCACCGAATGATGACATTTCAGTGCAAAAAGAGCCCTTGCAGAGATCGCCTGCAAATGCTATTAGTCACGCTCCAGATTATGAACGAAATTGATTCATACTTAAATTGATGTGGTGAAAATAAAGCTCAGGAATAAGAGGTTTGGTAGTGAGCAGTGTCTTTAGTTAGTGTAGAATCGCCTCTCCCTCATTAGCACTCGAGGTCTTGCTGGTACCCAGGTGTCTGAAACAAGCCTATTAAATCTCCATGGTGATGAAATCAACAAAAGCGCGTCTCTTCTTTTCTTGGGCCGAGCAGAATGTATTTCTGATTGAAAACTGTTCTTTTGAAATCTGCAGTGCTGTTTATTTCATGAATGAAGACTTTATCCACGACTTTATTTATTTCCAGGAACATATTCACTAAGGTCATTTTAGTTGGTGATTTGAGTGTGTATGACAGAATCAAGCCATTAAACAAGTGGTAATAGTGAGTCAGTTTGACCATATCAAATTGTAAAATAATGAAGTTTCCATTGTCACAGGATAAATGTCTCCATTTGACTCCTTTATGCAGCCTATACGATTAAAGAACCAAGGAATTTAGTTGCCTGATGTCTCCGTATCCCACACGTTTTGCAAACAACATGAACGCAATAAGTGCATACCAATTTGTCATGTATTTATGTAAGTTCATTATAGTTAAAGACACCTACAAAAAGTGGGATTTAAAAAAAAAAAACATACCTTAAAGGTACTGTAAATTTCTTTAGGTATACAACTTTTAAATGAGGAACAAATTAGAGTATGTCTTAATAAAAAATGACATCCATTTTAAAATGTCAATGAATCACAAAGAGTGTTTTTGCTGTCTTAAAGCACAGCTCTCAACGCAGGCAAAATATTTTGTACGACTGATAAATATCCCTCTTTGATAAATAAACCATGCATTAAAAGGCAGGAAACTATGTGCTGGAATATAACACTACGTGCATACATTTGAATATCAATGATTAGTGAGAATCTGGCACCATTAACAAGGGAGTCTAACAGATGGCATAAGTGTTAAGTGAATGTAGGGCAAATTCTCCAATCACATGGTGTAATGAAGTCAGAGAGGTTTCTGGAGGAGAGTGAGTATGTGTGGCTGTGTTTGAGAGAGGGAAGGGGGAATCGGGGGAAATTGCTGCGGCTCCGTCCCACTCCAGTAATGGCAGGGAGGGATCAGAGGAGTGTAGAGACGCACAAGAGCCGCTGATGGCTTTCACAGTTCAGTATCTCAGAGCTCCTGGTGACAATCCGTCCACAATACTGTAATAATGCTCTGAAATAGGCCATTAAGGTGCTTCTCTGTGCCTCACTTCACTGCTCAGAACGTGCGTGTGTGTCTGAGGTCTTTCAGCACCTCCGAACAGACTGAGATGTGACAAGTGCCAAAGTCTTGCTCGCTTCTAATTAGATCATGGCCTGCAGTGATGGCAGTAATGCAATATCTGAACCAGAGGTGAGAGACAAGAGGATAAAAGAGTATTTGGAAGAGAGAGTCAGAAATGTGTTTTTCTTGTCACATTGTCTTTTCCTCCCTTGTCTTTGCCAGTGTGATCTCATTAGTGTTAGATGTAGAACGTAAACTTTAGTAGCGCAATACCTATTTTTAATGCAAATAATACTATTAATCAATATCACATCACCGCTTCTAAAACCTATGTATGAATGTGCAGCTACTGAGATGCACAATAGAGGGTGATCAATTAAAACTCTGTTTGATTGAGCATCCCAACCAGCCTGACATGGTAAATTGTTTGACCATGTTGGTGACAAGCAGGGGCGATTCTAGGATTTTTTCAACTGGGGGGCACAAGAGGGGCCACAATAATTACAGAGGGGCCATTCTTATGTTGTGTATTTATGTATAGAACTGTAGATATCCAAATCATTTCAAGTTCAGTAAGCTTTAAAATCAGCAATAAACAGTGATACCCTGTTATCTTTTAATAGCAGTTATTTACTGCTCTAAATCAAAACAATAAAATACAATTTATATTAACTTTTCACTTTACAAAAGTGATAGAAAAACTGTAATAAATAAAATAATCCAATGTATTAGTGTCCAACTCACAAATAATAATAGAACAGCCTTATTTATATAAATGCATAATTATATTAATCATTCATAGAA